GAAGGTGTCATCTCAGGTCACCGGGAGCAGAGATGGACGTTTGCATAAATGGGACAAGCGGGTAGCCCATCCAGAAAAAGGTAACATTTGATTCACAGTTCACACCATACACAAGAATAAACTGGAATAAACTCCGACGGGCCAAGGATTTGGATGGAAGCAGTGGGATCACACAGGACAGAGAAAACCTGGCAAATTCCTCTTTTCCCTGAATGTGGGGAGCGGCTTTCCGTTATGACTCCACTCCAGAGGCGATCAAAGATGGATGGTTTTGACCACATTAAAAAAATTGTGTGGTCACAAAAACACCAAAAGTCAAAGTTGAAAGACAACCAACAAACTAGGAGAAAATATCTACTGCCCATGAGAGGCAGAGGCCTAACCCTCATCTCACATCCAAAGAACTCTTTAAGAAGGACCTGAGAGAAAATAGGAAAAGACACAATTTGCCAAAAAGATAAAAGAACGACCTGTAAACATACGAAAGATGTTCAGATTCGCTCCTAAGTACAGAAATGCAAATTCACATGCTGCTGAGACATCGTTTCTCACTTATCAGACAGCGACACTTCTACTGTACGACAAACAGTCTGTTGGTGGGTCTGGGGAAATGGGCACCCCACACGCTGCTGGTGGGAACGCAAACTGGCATAAGCCTTCTGGAGGGACGTTGCCAAACCTAACACGTTCCTCCTGCTCTCACCTCTGGTCCTGCAACTCCACTTCTGGTATCTATTCTGAACAGTCAGCTCTGGTGCTGGGAAAACACGGATGCACGAGGCCACTCACGTCGATGCTGAAATGGGAAAACACTGGCCACAACCTAAGTGCCTCCGCTCGCTTGGCTTCTGCCCCGGCTGAAAGGAAAATGGCTGAAAAACTCTGCCCGGCGGAGTACTATACAGCTGTAAAAATGAGGGAGGAGGCTCCCTCTGCACTGACAAGGAGAGATTTCCAGATTATGCTGTTAAGTGAAGAAAAACCAAAGTACAAAGGAGTGTCATTAGTATACAACCCTTTATACAAGAAAGAGGGGATATAAGAAAAAATGCAGGCATCTGCTCATTTGTGCAAAAGATATACAGGAAAGAAAGACCAGAAACTGATGAGATAAGTTGCCCACAGGAATTGGGTGGGAACAGGGTGAAAAGGAATGAGAGAAATGGGAAGGGGCAGGAGGAGGAGGGACAGTGCCAGTTGTCCGAACACACCTTTGTGCAGAGAGCTCTGCCCCTGGAACCAGTGTGATGATTAGCTTTATGTGCCAACTTGGCCAGAATACAGTACCCAGTGACTCAGTCAAACACTCATCTAGATGTCACTGTGGGAGTATTTGGGAGATGTGGTTAACATCTATCATCAGCTGTCTTTAAGGGGATAATCCTTGATGCTGGGGGTGGGGCCTCACCCAGTCAACGGGAAGGCCTTACCAGCACGTTCGGAAATTCTGCCTCAAGAATCCTGCATGAGCTCCCAAGAGCCTCCAGCCTGCTGGCCTGCTGGGCCCCGTGATCAGGCAAGCCAATTTTTTTAAACAATATTGTTTTACCCAGCCTTTCTCAATACCATGGCTTAAACAGAGATTCACCCATGTTTTCTTCTAGCACCTACATGGTTCCATGGGTTCCATCTAAATCCCTGGTGTGTGTGTATACCCACACATACACATATATGGCTTGGTCTCTAGATACCATTCTCCAACAAAAGGAACCAGGGTTTCTTGGAGAAATGACTGACTTCAGGGCTGGGGCACAAAATGTATAAGATAAGCCTGGAACATCTTGTGGTACCAGAAGAAAGAAAGTGCTCAAAAAAAGCCAGGGGCAATGTCAAAAAGACACAAAAAAGGCTCTCCAATAGCCAAGCCTGGGACCAACTTAAGGGGCCTTGTGATAGCACTGGGCCCCTCAGACGATCCGGATTCTCGCATCTCAAAGCCACCTGATTAGTGTCGCCAGTTCCGTCTGTGCCTTCATTCCCCTTTGCTGTGTAATGTGACACACTGACAGTTCCAGGAATTAGGCATGGACATCTCTGGGGGGCATCACTCTGCCAAATGCAGACCCCAGGGGCTGGCAGGCCTCGGCCGACCTGCTGAGATGCTGTTGTGATGTGGACTTTTCCTTCCTGGTTCCTAAAATATCTTGATTTTTTTTTTTTTTTAGACGGAGTCTCGCTCTGTCACCCAGGCTGAAGTGCAGTGGCGCTATCTCGGCTCACTGCAAGCTCCGCCTCCCAGGTTCACGCCATTCTCCTGCCTCGACCTCCCCAGTAGCTGGGACTACAGGTGCTCGCCACCATGCCCAGCTTTTTTTTTGAGATGGAGTCTCACTGTCGCCCAGGCTGGAGTGCAGTGGCATGATCTCATGTCACTGCAACCTCCACCTCTTGGGTTCAAGCAATTCTCCTGCCTCAGCCTCCCGAGTAGCTGGGATTACAGGTGTGTGCCACCACGCCCAGCTAATTTTTATATTTTTAGTAAAGACGGGGTTTCACCATGTTGGCCAGGCTGGTCTGGAACTCCTGACCTCAGCTGATCCACCTGCCTTGGCCTCCCAAAGCGCTGGGATCACAGGTGTGAGCCACAGTGCCTGGCTAGATTTAAAAAAAATATATTATTATACTTTAAGTTCTAGGGTACATGTGTACACGTGCAGGTGTGTTACATATGTATACACATGCCATGTTGGTGTGCTGCACCCATTATGGGTGCACATGTATACATATGTAACAAACCTGCACCTTGTGCACATGTACCCTAGAACTTAAAGTGTAATAATAAAAAAAAAAAAAAAAAGAAAGAAAATTCCTCCAGTTCCAGCTATTGCCACTCGGCACCTCCGAGGATGGCGAACTCTCTGGCCTCAGGGCTAATTATTCCTGTTTGCGCTCTGGCACTGTCGGAAGCCATCTGTGGTGGCTTCCATTTCTAAGGACGCCCCACATGGCTGCTTGTAGAACACTGCGTGCGTTACCCTGCCGTCTTCTGCCAGGCCTCTGCTTCACAATCAATCTACACAAATCAACCATCACTTCCACAGAGCTGGCCGGGGAGACTGCTTTTCTCCAGGGGCCCCCACTGTGCCTTCCCTGGATCGTAATAAAATGCAACTTAATTTAAATACAAATGACTCAGCTGTGGCAGAAAGCCAGTTAGCCTAAAGAACAGGCTGTTCTGATTTTTAACAACCTCTCCCTGCTCAACTCATTTTTCAGCTTAGAAAAGAAGACCCTGAAATCTTGGAGAAGCCTTGAGTACAGTAGAGTGAGGAAACCCTGCTGAGGGCACAGGGAGGCCCCGAGAGACCCCAGAGTGAGGAGACCCTGCTGAGGGCACAGGCAGGCCCCCAGAGACCCCAGAGTGAGGAGACCCTGCTGAGGGCACAGGCAGGCCCCCAGAAACCCCAGAGGGTTGGGGTGGGCTCCCTGGTTCACTGTGTCTCATCAGGGGCCTTTGAGGCTGGAGCCGTGACTTTGGCCCTCCCACCTTTGGGAGCACCAACTCTCCCACCCGAACCGGGGCAGAGGCTGTGGAGTTTCCGCTGTTTAAACCCCAGGATGCACACCTGCATATACCCCATGCCTTCCTACTTTTTAAAAAGTTTGGGCTCCCAAGGTAGAGAGTTGCCTCAACAACAGTGCATTGAGCATGGACTCTGCTGGGACCAAAGGAGTCCCCCGAGGTGGACGAAGCGGGTAGAGGGCACACAGCCGACGGGAGAAAACAGAGGCCACTCATCTGCCAGCCTCAGTAAGAGAGAAGAGGGCAGGCTGTGGCCAGCGGGGCTCTGAGGGTACAGGGAGGCCCAAACCCAGGCCCAGAGGGGTAGTGGGAGCTACCCAGCCATGGGCTTTCTCCCTGTGCTCACAGCAGCCCGCAGCCCACAGGGGAGGGGTGATGAGCCCAACCAGGGATCTTCAATCCCACAGACATGTGCCAGGTGTGTCCTGGACCCTCAGGGTACACCACAGCCACATGTACTCTTGGTGTGGGACCTTGGTGCAACCTTTCCTCCGTGAAGACCCTCCCCAGGGCCTCCTCCCTGCCCCTGGCCCTCCCTACTGGTCCCCAGGGATCCCTTTCTCTCAGGCACTGGGGAAAGCGCTTGTCATCAGTGGGGCACCAGGACTTGCACTGCGCTGTGAACCGATAGACAGATTTCTATGTGAATTTCGCGTGGCAGGGAGGCGGTGGCCGTCAGCTCCACACACCCTCTGTGGACCCCACTATTCACCCACTGCAGCCCCAGGACACCCCAGCACCTCCCACGGAGGCAGAAACAAGGACTCGAAAGTCGATCGCGGACATGCCGAGTTCTGATCCCTGCTCTGGAGGCAGAGGAGCCTGGGCCTGCTGGGGAGAACCCCCAGGCCTGCTGATGGGGGCCCAGTACCCAGGAGGCTGAGGGAGGCAATGAGGGAGTCCCTCAAGTGGGAAGAAGGGCCCTTGGGCAGGAGGACCGGGCCAGGCGGGGAAGGGTTTGGCTGAAGTCGTCCTGCTGGGGGCTGTGGGTGGTGACAGCCTGCTCCATTACCAGAAGCTCTTAGCCCTGGACAGGGTGGGGCCAGGAAGGACAGCTTTGGCCTGACCACGGGGACAGAGGGAACCAGCAGGGATGTCCCTGAAGCCAGGCTCCAGTCAGAGACCTGGCCACCTGGGCACGAGACCCTACTGTCAGTTATTCCCAGGCGCCTGCCGTTGGAGAGGCCATGGGCATCTCTGGCTGGACATGGCCCAGTCTGAACCCTCCGTATCCCCTGCCTTAGGGCTCCACCATCCACCCAGAGGAGATTCTTGAGGCCGTGGCCTCCTCCCACCGCCACTCTTCACATCCACCTGCCACCAGCCCCGTCCTCTGTCTTCATCCCGGCACCCCCCGGGGAAGAACCCTTCGGGGGTCTAGAGAGGATCCTCCATGGCCCCCGTGTGGTCCACCCCTCCCCCGCTCGCCCCCTCCCTCCCCAACCGTGTCCTGCCCACCAGCGGCCATGGGACTCACCCGATGGTCCTGCCCCAGTCACACCACAGCGTCTCCCCGACGGCCTCCATGTCTACCTGGAACTGGGTGAGGCAGAGCTCCTGGAGGAGGGCACCGTAGTTAGCCTCCTGGCAGGCAGTGGCCATGAAGAGGTGATGGGCTGCAACAGACATGACCATGAAGAGGTGATGGGCTGCAGCAGAGGCCTAAGGGCATCACCGCCGGCCCACCCGCTCCCCGCAGCCCAGGCGCCATGAGAATGGGGCCTCTGAGAGACCCCTGGAGAGAGCAGCTGTGGCTCCAAGTGACGCTCTTCATCAATCGTTCTGTGACCTGGCAAAGGCCCTCCCTGCCTGCTAAAGGTGGCTTGGCCCTCAGTGCCCATGCCAGCTTGGGACAGGGCACTTCCCATCCCACCATGCCACTGGGCTGCCCCAGGCATGGGCGGCATGAGAGGGGCCTGGCTGCCCCTGTTCCGCTGGTACCTGGGCATGGGCTGGGCTGTGTTGTGCCCCCCCAGCCCAGGAGCTGCAGGCACGTCTCCTGTCTAAATATCTGCGGGCTATGAACCGAGCTGACAAATGGAATCACGAACCGTGCTCCCTCCTCCTGCCTCAAGCCATACACCAGAGCAAAAGTGACCTGCCCAGCGATGCCCCTCATAGAATCAGAATTCACTCATTTACCCCGTAGCTTGCTACTGGCTGGGGGTGGGCGG